GGGGGGTGGTCCCAGGGGGGCACCTGTGCTCAGGGTGGTGGCCAGGGTTGCCATGGAGGCATGCCTGTGGGTGCCCCTGGCACCTGGGGAGTGGGCAGCTGTTGCTTAGGTGGCTGTTGAGCTGGTCTCCCACCTTCTGAACTGCAGCCCATTGCCCAGCGGGCACCTTCAGGTGTGCACTCTGAGAAGGTAGGGAAACCCCTGCCCAGAGGGGCACTATGGGGAGGCTCTGGCACCTTTAGAAGCACTGCCCAGGGAGGCGTGGGCAGTGACAGAAGGCCTCGAGGCAGCATGTGCCGGGCGGGGCAGCCCTGCGGTGTCCTGGTTTCCTCGGAATCACGGCTGTGTCAGGTGAGGGACAGAGGGGGAGGCAGCCTGGGCTTGCAAACTCCCTGCACCCCTAGCAGGAAGATGCTTTTGGAAACCAGGGCATCTTTTTGGTTCATCCTGGCAGTCTGGGTGCACAGCTGATGCTAATGCTGGCGGCATGGCCAGAAGGGTGAAGAGTACCCGGGTATGCCATGTGTGGGCTCCTGGGTGCAAGACCCAGAAGAGTTTCTCCCACAGTCCTCAGGCAGGACAAGGCAAAGCCACAGGTGCCAGGTGGTGAGTGTCTTGGTGTGAACCTGCTTTGGTGGAGTCACATGGGCAGGGACACTGGCATCACTGGTCTAGGAAATCAAAGGTCAGGGAGGCTCCCTGTTACCTATGGGCAGTGCCCACCACACCCTTCTAATGTGGCCAGGCGTCTGGGAGGTGGTCACCTACTACCCCAGGAGATATGTAAACAAGGGCCAAAAGCTGTCCTCTGAAGAGTCTAGAGGCCCACAGCTGGAGATTTGGGCTTCCAGATGGGGCTAGGGCTGGTGGAGGCAAAACCCAGATAGCTGGGTACTGACAACAGATGGGACTTTTACCTTGGATCCAGCCTAACTCCATGGGTTTTTTAAGGTTCTGGTTTGCACTTCCGAGCTGCACCCACGTGGGCGTGACTCAGACTGCCCGTGTCGCGTAGGAAAGTGACAGCTTCAGCCGTCAGTGTGAGTCGCAAGTTGCAAGAGCCTCTTCGCAAACATGTGTCCCGTGCATATCGGTGTGCACGTGCGTGAACACAGGCACAAACAGGCACCATGCCACGTGTGCACGCGTGCGTCAGTGCTCATGTGAAGAAGCCTGCGGGGGAGGGGGATGGGAATCTTAGCGTATCTGGTGATTTCTCAAAGGCAAAGGGAAACTGGCCTTGTGCACTCTAGACATATACGCCATGTTTTCACTCACCCCCTGACCCCCCCAAAAAGCCCCTCACTGGGCCGGGCTAAAATAACTCCCTAAAGAAAACTTTCTTAAATGTTAAATG